CCTAAAACCCCTAAAACCCTAAAAGCCCTAAAGCCCTAAGAAGGCGTCCGACTTCTGGCGTCCTGAAGCCACTGGAAGACCGGAGCTGTGCCCAGCTCCCGCGCCAGCTGCCAGAGGTAGCCAGCCTCCATGGGGCTCAGGAGCTTAGGGGCTTAGGACGTTAGGGGCTCAGGGGGTTTAGGGGCTTAGGAAGTTAGGGGCTTAGGAGTTTCGGGGCTGAGGAAGTTAGGGGGCTAGGATTTAGGGGCTTAGGGGTGTAGGGGTGTACGGCTTGAGGGTTTTGGGGCTTAGTAAGTTCAGGGGCGTAGGGGTGTAGGGATTCAGGGGTCTAGGGGTTTTGGGATGTAGGTCATGGGGCCCCCAACGTGTTCGCCAGAACGGCCCAAAGCGCCCGAAAGCCTCATAAGCCCCTGTTCCTGGGCTTCTTAGGGGATGTAGCTACTGATGCGATGCCTACCGGGGGGGAGAAGGGGATCAGGGGTTAGATACCATAGCAGGGAACCCGCACAGGAGTGATATTACTAATTAGTTTGTCCGTCTTCCGTGTATTTCGCAGCCACTAAACCCCAAACCCTAAACCCTAAACCCTCTGTTTAGCTTGCTCTGGTGACCATGGTTCTGCATGCAGTGTCACTTCGATACAGCTGCGGGGTTCTCCGATCCAGGCCCCCTTTCTTTTGCAACTGAAGTGTGGGGTTTTGGGTTTAGGGCTTTAGGGTTTAGGGGCTTAAGGCTGTAGTGCTTTAGGGTTTAGGGGGATTTCGGGCTTTAGGGGTTAGGGGCGGGCAAGCGACTTAAAGGGACGATGATTCAGAGACCAGCCAACTGCCCGAGCTAGGCTGGCACACCGGCGGGGCTCGGGGTTTGAAGGTCCGAATCCTGGAAACGACACGGTTTAGGGCTTAGGGCATAGGGTTTAGGGTTAGTCTTATCAACTCCTATGGATACCAACGATGCCAAGGCTGGTAAAAGTATCTTAGTAGTCAAGTGCCACTGGTGAACTTAACACAAATGACCCTGCACATGATTAACAGGATCGTGATGAGGATTGTTGTCATGATGCTGACCATCATGATGATGATGGTGGTGATAATGATGATGATCGCCTCGCGAGGTTCGCTGGACCGGCGCTGCCGCTCGTGCTCCATGCCCTCCATTGCACCTCACGTAGGTTTCAACGGGATTTCAGACGGCTCCGCAAACTTCCGGAGGACATCACCAGGCTAAGATATGCCATCATGTTATCGATAGTAGTAAGAACGGCCGTGCACCGTAATCAGAATGGTAGTGGCCGTCGTGTCGTCATCGTCGTGACAAGATGCAGTCAGAGCGGTAGTAAACCGAAAGCGCCCGTGCCTTGGACGACGGAGCGATCCAACTCCGGCTCAGACAGCGCCCGCGCCATCGCCAGCCAGGCAAGACGCCTCCGTCCCAAGGGTTCAAAAATGGGTCTTTCTTCATCTTTCCGTGTCTCGCTCTCTCTCTCTCTCTCTACATATATATCTGTGTGTGTGTGTGTATGTATGTATACATATATATATATATATGTGTGTATATATATATATATATCGTAGACAACGGGGGTGCTTATAAAGGGTCTCAAATGAGGGGTCTTATGAAGGCGAGTTTGACATCTCAGGGAGTTTGGGGTGTTGGGGAGTCAGGCGTTTGGGTGTTGGGGGGTTGGGGATCTCCGTGTGTGTCTCTTTTTTGGGTAGTTCTCTAAACTAGTGTCCTTTCTTAGGTCCCCAATATTACGGAGCCCTTATACAAGGACCCCAAAAGGGACCGTAATTTAGAGAACTAACTACCCATATGGATTTGATATGAAGGGTCCTGCAAGGGTTCTGCCTCTCATGCAAGGACCCGGAGCCCGGCAGACCCGGGTTCCTTTGTGGAGGGTTTAATGTAGCGGCCTTAATTAGAATAGGGTTTTGGGGTTTTACATACTTTGCTGAGGGCCCGGCATGCTTAAAACACCCAGTTCTGGGTGCAAGGGTAAGGTGCAAGGGCAAGGTGCGGGGGTTGGTGCATCTAGCGGTGCGTGATCTCAGTGGCTTACGCCCCATGTTATCACCCCTCTCGGTTTTGCCCACAAACCAGAGGTGAAGGAAGGCCGCGCTCCTTTCACCCTTCGGTTTTGGGCCACAAACCAGAGGTGAAGGAAGGTCGCGCTCCTTTCACGGAGTGGGGGCCAGTCCCGGCCAGGACCTCGGCCCCGACCCGCCCGGCCAAAACCGAAAAGGAGCCCGTGGCCAAAACGGAGGGGTGAAAGGACCGCGGCCTTCCTTCACCTGTCGGTTTGTGGCCAAAGACCGAAGGGTGAAAGGAGCGCGGGCTATTTTCTGGGATCTTGAGCTAAATACCCATGTGGTGGTCTTGACAAGCTTCCAGACCCCAGGTCCTGCACCAGCACACGCCCCAGCCCAAACGAACATAAACCCTTGGATGTCTAAAACTTGTTCTAAGCATACCAGGACTTTTCCAAATTATACTAGGATCATACTACGCAACCCCCAAAATAGTCTAAGGGGTCATTATTCAGGCCCCTATGTTAGGGCTTAGGGTAAATCCCAAAGCCCCAAACTCAATCTGATGCCGTGCCACTGAAAGCCGTCGAGCCGGGCCCACCGGCGCTCCCGTCCAGCCTAGGAGCTTGGGTTTAGGGTTTGGGGCTTAGGGTTGAGGGTTTACAAAAATGACCGTTCCGCCCAGAGTCCTTCAGAGCCTCTTTGCGAAAAATGGGTTTAGGGTTTTTAGGGCCTTAGGGTCTTAGGGTTTAGGGACCTTAGGAGAACACTCTTTCCTTGGCTTCCGTATCCTGGCCTCTGGACATCAGATTTGGATGGGCCTTAATGCTATCCAGACTTGCCATAAAGTCTGAAGCTAGAAGCTAGGAAGCTGAGCCCCGTTGCGCTGGTTGCGAGCTGAAGCAGAACCGCTAAGCTACCACATGAGCAGGGCAGAATGATATAGGTGTGCCAATAAGTAGAACAGGGCTGAAATAGGGTTATAGGGTAGCTTCTACTCTCATTGCTTTAAGGAGCCCTCAAGACTTCTAGGTAGAATAAGGCCGAATAGGGTTATAGGGTATCTTATTATACCTAAACCCTAAACCCTAAACCATTATACTCTGATTGCCTTAAGGCGCCCGAAAGACTTCTACCCCTGAGACAGCAAGGAGCAAGCCAGGGCTCTGAAACCGGAGGCCCCCCAAGCCTTCTAGTCCTGCGACTGCCGAGCCCTAGATGACTCTAGCATACTATCCCTAAACCCTAAACCCTAAACCCCTAAACCCTAAACCCCTAAACCCCTAAACCCCTAAACCCCTAAACCCTAAACCCTAAACCCAAAGCCCCTAAACCGTGGGAGTTGAGCTCCTTTTACGGACCTAGGCCCTGCGCTCCTGGCCTGGATTCTTGCTAAGAACCATGATGTAAGCTGCCATCTTACGGAGCATAACACTTACTATGTGTACACCCGAAAACACCCCCAAACCCGAAGCCCGAGATACCGCTCCTGAACCACACCATCGGACGCTTAAGAATCCTGCTAAATCTGTTACGCCCCGTATGGTTCATACATGTGTACATCTATCTATATATATATATGTGCATGCATGCATGGATTCATGGATGGATGGACGGATGGATGGATGGATAAATCCATGGGTATATGTATGGTATGTATGTATGTACGTACGTATGTATGTATGTATGTATGTGAAATATATACATGTTTATATACATATACATACATGTATATATGTACCAAAAAAGTCTATATGCAGAACTATGTGTCTGGATGTGCATTTGTATATGTCTAGGTACATGGGTGTGTCTATGTATACAGCTAGATAAATAGATGTGTGGATAGATAGATAGATAGATGGATAGATAGATAGATAGATAGATAAGTAGATAGATAAATGGATACAAGGATAGATAGGTGGATAAATAGGTAGATAGATAGGTAGATAGATAGATAGATAGATAGATATGTGCGTCTATGTCTAAGTGCTTGTATGTGTGTACATATACATATACATATGTATGTGTATATATATATATATGTGCAACAAACAAAGCAACGACTCGACAGATTCCGGGGCCCAAGCCCAGGGCGCCACGGAACCCCGGAAGAACACGGAGGGCTCGCTCTCCATGCCTGTTTTTTGAGGATTCGGTGGTTTATATGAGGGGAAGTCGTCTCAAGATTACGATTTCAGGTAAGAAGGGCCCAGTCATGCTTTGGGGTTCAGGGATTCGGCTTCGAGAGTGCACCCAGCGACAGCTTGGGAGGCGAATTTCAATGAAGCCGAGCGCCAGACATGACGAGATTGCCGTGGAGTGGCCGCCGTAGCCTGCAAAGGTTGAAATTGCTCAGGCAAGCCCCAGAGGCCGAAGCAGCCAAGGGTTGAGGGTTTAATGTAGGGGCCTGAACAAATTAGAATAGGGCTTTGGGGGGTGGGCTCCTTATTGTAATTATAGCAGAATATACCCCCAAACCCTATTCTAATTATTATTAAGGTCTCCTGAATCCTGAAGCCCACAGTTGAACAGAGCCCTTCGATGCCTGCCACCCGGCCCAACACCGCTCTGCGTGTGATGAAGGCCGACTGCAACGCATCCGTAGCAGAGGACCTGTTGTTTGGGCGTCGCCGTAAGTCTGGATGTAAGTCTGCACCGGCTGAGCAGGAAGTCGCTTTTCAGCTTGGGGCAAGGCAGCCGAACTTGGAAGCTGTACTGGAGTTAGCGATACGAATTGCCCGTGCACAGCTTCAGAACCTGAATTGCTTCCCCTCTCCCCATGGAAGCGAAAATGCCTCTGCACAGGCTGCACGCGGAGGAGCTTGGTAATGAGGTCACGGGCATCCGGGTGGAGCTGAAGCCATCTGAGCAGGGGTCGAGTTTGTTCGAGCCACTGCAAGACTAGCTTAGGGCTTATTTCCCCTGCAGAAAGGTTCCTAGTATTTAATTAAGGACTTCTGTTTAAAAGACTACGGGAGCTGGAAGCTGCAAGTCGCCGGGTGCCTCTCTGTGCGCCGGTTGTAGTTTCCCAGCGCGACGAGTCGCAAGACTTCCTGGAAAAATGCAAGACAAGGCCTTTGTGTGTGTGTGTGTGCATGTTTGTGAGTATGTCTGTGTGCGTGTGTGAGCATGCGCGACACACAGACAGGTACATATACAGGTGTACACGTACAGGCGCTCAGGCATACAGGCACACAGGCATGCATGCATGCAGACTAACTAACATACGTACAAACCTCCATACATGTGTGCGTACGTACATACGTACATATGTCCAGACACAAGAGATTTATCTGGATTGGCTCCGTGCTTATATGTATACACATACGTAGACATACCACACTCTATCTACCTATGTCTAATATATAACTATATATATATATGTATGTGTATATATATATACATGTACTATATGCGCACACACACACACACATGTACACGCTTACACTTACACCTACATGTCTCCTTCCCGGCCTGGTCTTGCAGCTCCTGCGAGGGCTGCTTCAGCGCCTGGTTGAAGGGATTGTGGCCCACCAGCAGCAAGTACAGCACCTCAGCTCGAGGGCTGTGTGTGTGTGTGTTTGTTTTTGTTCGGCTTCAGTGCGGGTTTAGGGTTTGAGGCTCAGGGTTTAAAGGGTAGGTAGGCTTTATCGAGCACTGGGGGCACAGCACAGAACGACCTTGACGGTTCAGGGCTCAAGGGTCTCGGGGAGAAGTGTTTTCGGGATGTTGAGCCACGGATCCTTGCGGTGATCCCTGTTCAAGCCACGTTGACAAAGGCTTCGCCTGCTTGCCGGTGCCTTAATTTGGTTTAGGGTTTAGGGTTTAGGGTTACTCTACAACACTGGTGGTTGGTTGTTGACATGCCCTGGGCCTCTGCTGCGGAGCTCTCCAAGCCGCTCTGGCTTCATTTTTTCACAGGTCCCGGAAAGGCTTGCGGCAGAAGCACCACGCCGGCGCTCCACATGTCGCTGAGGCCTGGCGAGGCTGCGTCAAAGAAGCATTTCGTCTCTAGCCCCCATCGAAAATCTAGAGGAACCCCATGGATACGGTTGATGAGTAAAAAAATCTGCATTACCCATAATAAGGAATATACCATAATTCCCATAGTTTAGGGTCCTTAAGGTAATGCAAGAATTATATCATCAACCGTAGTAGCCCTCATGGCTAGAACCCAAGCCTCAGAATCCAAAGAAGCTCCGCCCTCTCCCTGCACAGTTTTGGCCAGTGTCCATGTACCCCCAAATAAGGGGAAAGGGCCCTTCATAGAAGGTATTTCAGGTCCTAACAGAAGCCTAAACCCTAAACCCCCGGAACCCTGAACCCTAAAGCCCCGGAACCCCCTAAACCCTAAACCTTTGAGGGTCGAACAGAGGAGCACCTAAACCCCTGAACCCCTGCAGATAGAGGGAGCCCTGGTGACAGAAACCAGGAAGGGACCACCTGGGAGTTTCCGAAAATAGGGAGGTACCTTAATTTGGGGTCCTTATAATAAGGATCCTACTATTTAAGACACACCCTTATAATAAGGATCCTACTATTTAGGGTGCTATTTTAGGGGTCCTTATAACAAGGATCCTACTATGTAGGGTACTCTTTTAGGGGTCCTGATAATAAGGATCCTTCTGCTTAGGGTACTTTCTTAGGGTCCCCTATCTTCCGAAATCCCCTCACCTCTGACGGGCTCGCCGTTGTCGTCCAGAGCCGGCTGCTCCGGCTCGACGCCCTGAAGGGGGAAGGTGCGGGATTTGGGGTTTAAGGTCTAGGGTCTTTTAGGGTCTGGAACAAGACGGAGAATCCAGGGCCCCGAGCCTTTAGGCCTAGGATTTAGGATGTGAGGTCTTTAGGGTCTAGAGTTGAGGGTAGCCCCAAAATAGCCTACCTTGTTAAGGACTTGTATAAGGAGATCAGAGTAAGGAAGCCTGACAAGGTAGGTTTGATAGGGTCCAGGTAGACCTTAGACCGGTCTAGGATCTAGGGCTTCATGGTTTCGGGCAAAAAGATGCTTAGATGGGGGACTGTAAGGGAAAGTCTTTCTACGGCTTCTTCATGCCGGGAGCCATATATCTTATGATTACTATCACTACTATCACTGCTCTGACAGCTGGATAAGGGAAGTGGAGGGGGATAGGTTTACTACTTGAAGCTACCAAAACCTGCTTTTTCGCTGGGGCCCCCTATACATTCTGCATTCGGCTTCACGATCAGAGATACCAAAGAGGTAGCCTAAACCCTAAACCCT